TCTTATTAATGTGTTATATATTATATTGGTCTGGTTTACATCGTGCACTTGATACGTGTACTAAATAGTAACTTTCTATTAGATAATCTTAATATTGACAATGCATATCAACGGCGACGCGTTTAATCAATACAATATGTTTTCTTGATGAGTACTATACAAGCTTAATATACCGTTGTTTACATATATCGTAGATATTAAAATTATTTAATAGAAAGTTACTATTTAATTTACACGTATCAAGTGTACGATGTAAACCAAGCCATTGTATATACTGTAATTACATTTTAATTTTAATAATCTATATTACATAAATATTGTTTTCCACATTTTCATTGTTCACTTTTCATGTGAAATAACTTACAGTGAAAAATGAAAAATGAAAATAAAGTTCACGTGAAAGATTCATAATAGAGATTTAACAATTTTCCCTAACAAATTTAGGGAAAAAGGGTTGTTTGTGCTGCTTGCATGTTTCATACTTTTCGCTTTTAAAAAGAGATGGACGCTTAATCAGACGCTTGAAAGAAACAATCGAGTTGGTTATCTCGTTTTTGCTTCTTCGAAACATTCCAATATACTTTTGTTTAGTTTTAAATACGAAAAGTACGAAGAGTGCAAATAACACGAATAGGTCTATTTTTGGGGAAAGAATCGAATCGATTCAGAATCGGGCATCTCTAATTCATGATCGCTATCCAGGGGTGCGTTCAAATTTCCCACCCGGGTGCACTCTAGTACTAGAAGTGCTATAGTATATGTAACATATACTATAATGTTCTAGTAATAGAATGCACCCGGATGAGGAATCTGAACGCAGCTCAGTGCTGGGATTCTGTAACTCATTAATTACAATAACCCCTTGTCCACAACCTTGCTTTAATTCTTAAGCCGTAAGAAATTGACCAACCACAGTTTATTATTTTAAAAATAATTCACTGTGGTTAGTCAATTTATTACGGCTTAAAGATTAAAGTAAGGTTGTAGACAAGCCCTTAAGGGACGTCTACATTGGAAGTAAGAAGTAGGAAGTAAGAAGTAGGAAGTAAGAGTAAGAAATTGACCAACCATAATCGAATGTGAAAAGAATAATCAACTATGATTGGTCAATTTCTTATTCTTATTTCCTACTTCTTACTGCTTACTTTCAATGTAGACATTCCTTTATGCGTCGTCTACATGGTAGTAGGAGTAATGGCAGTAGGAGTAAAAGTAAGAAATAAGCAGTAAGCAAATTAACCAATTCCATTCTCACGATTTAAAAATAATCGGTTGTGATTGGTTCATTTACTTACTGCTTATTTATTACTACTACTCCTACTGCCATTGTAGACGACGCAATACGAGTTATGGCTCCTGCACACAGGACGCGGTAATGCTTGCCGCGCGGCGGAAGTCCGCGCGATAGCCAATCAATATGTTGTTTTTCCAAGAGCTAGAAGGTTATTACAGAACACATATTGATTGAAAGCATATTGATTGGCTGTCGCGCGAACTTCCGCCGCGCAGCAAGCATTATCGCGTCCTGTGTGTAGGAGCCATTACATAAACAACAAAGATAGAATGACACGGTAGCGCTAAATAGCGCTAATAGCTCCCTGAACGCATCTTAGGGTGCGTTCAGATTCCCTACCTAGGTGCACTCTGTTACTAGAAACACTATAGTATATGTCACATATACTATAGCACTTCTTGTTTAGAGTGCACCCGGGTAAGGAATCTGAACGCAGCCTTATGTGTGAGCTAGTAGAAACCAATATGGCGACGAGCAGTTCCCCCTGCATACCTAATGGTGTCATTACATGAAGCGCAGAAACACGGAAACGCGGAAGACAAAATCTTATGGCTTCTGCACATAGGACGCTGTAATACTTGCCGCGCGACGGAAGTCCGCGCGACAGCTAATCAATATGTTGTTTTTCCGTAAGAGCTGGAAGATTATTACGGAAAGAGTGGGGCCCGATTGACCACGATACGATCGGACACAAATTGTAATGATTGGTTCGATCTAGTAATTCACTAGATAATTTTTTCATCGGTTGTTTGTGTCCAATCATACCGTGGTCAATCGAGACGCTCCCTTACGGAAAGCAGCATATAGATTAGCTGTCGCACGAACTCTGCCGCAAGCATTACCGCGTCCTGTGTGCAGGAGCCATTACTAGATCCGCTACGCGTTCCGCGTTTGTTTTCATTGTCTTATATTACATGAGGCATATTTTAAGCGGGAAAACGGTATAGAGAATTATAAAATATTAATTTTTAACGATATTTATTAATTAAAATGTTTGTTCGAAAAAATCGAAACCGACCTAGGGCTCTGAATACATCCCGAGTGGGGAATTTGAACGCAGCCCTATAGAATTTCAGCACTGGCAGTGAATTTCGGAACGCAACCTAGTTTAGCAGTGCAGCTAAAGAAAACAGACCAAAAATGTTAACCTAGGTGCACGGATAACTTGACGGAAAGTTAGAATTTCTTTCTTCGAAAAATATACGAATGTATATTAAAAAATAAATATCTCCCAAGGTATGAGTTAGAAATTGTTTTTTCTTTTAATAAAACATGCAAAACTCGTTATAATAAACTTGCATTATGCAATAAAATTATTTTTTAGATTTCGGTTAATAATAATAAAAGATGTAAAACATAAGATAAAAAAAATAATACACTACTAATATTTACTATTCGATAACAGATGAATCCTGTATTGCGTACGATTCGAGCTTGTGTTTATTCTGCAAGACATGCCAAATACAGTACTCTGCCGTCTGAAGCAGTAGTATTTATGGAAGATAATATGGTTGCCTGTTGGCACCCAGAGAAACAGTTCCCGTACGAGTGTTCTCTGCCTCTACCCGAGGACAAGCACGAAGATAATTCTGTACTACGAGTTGGGGACAAGGATGTCGCAGAAGTTTTCAAGAAAAAGAAACAGCTGGTGGTTATCGACGAACTGAGCAAAATGACATATACTACTAAGCATAGATGGTTTCCTAGAAGTAGAAGTAAGAAGACAAAGAAGACAAAGCCTGATAGATGTTATCTGTAATTATCGGGACAAACTTGAAGAACCAAAGTTCTTTATTTAGTATGCTTCTCATATATATATGTTCATCTTTTTGTATTGACAAATGTTGTCTAAAGATAACGATAATTACATCTGTATATATAAACGATTTATCTTATGTGTATAGTTTGTTGATTTTTCCTTTACAATTCAATGAGATCATATAGCCTAATTTATAAATATGAAGTTCCAAATAAACAAGTTCATTATATTTACAGTCTTATGTATCATATGTACATGATGTAACATCTTGATCTGTCCTGTTCATCTTAAAGCAATGTTCAATTTAAAAGTATATTTTGTACAGATTTGCTTCTGTTATTTATACATACATAGGATCATCATTACGTCGCGAGAGTCTAATTCATTGACAGGTACAAGACAATATAATCTGCAAATTTTAACTGCCTGCATTAATACAACCTTATTACATCACAAACGCATTTATACCTACACAATGAAAAATGCTCTCTGCCTAATTGATATTGACAATCGATTACTACAAGTTCTGAGGAAAAAGCTGACGTTCTCCCTCATGCAACAAAATCTGCAAGGCTCTGTATAATAAGTATCTGCCGAATTTTTGCTTTTGCTGCAGACTCCACGTCGCAGCGATGCCATAGTACTCACCGCCCTTGCAATTTCCCAGGCATTCCGTTCCGATCGCGTCTATCATCGCGGCCTCTCTCGTGTACGCTTCTACCGGAATGACATTCTGAAAGACATGCAGACAGATCACGCCGTGATCATTGTTCCATATATCGAGAATGCAGTTGATCTTCCTATTCACGCTAAGGGACGTCTTCGACACCCATATTTTGAAGGCGTCGTAGAGATGTGCGAATGGCCGGGAACGCTTTCCTTTTCCGATGTAGAATATAGCATTGAGAAAAATCGACCACACCTCGGCTTCCGTGAGATAAATTTTGCGATGTTGCAAATCTTGTGTCACACGCGGATCCAATAGCAGATAATTGAAAGACGTCTGCGACCTGCCCTCGCGCCACCGTCGAGATGGATTCGGCGATACGAACTCTTGAAACACCTGTCTCTCCAGACTCCTATAAGTATCGAGATGATTCACCCAGTCGCCAAACTCTAAATGAGACTTGATAACTCGATGATATTGTTCTGCATAATTCCTCGAAATGTTCCGTGGCACTGACAGCCTCGGCAGAGCGTTAATGCTCCTTAAATGCATAAGGCGTTTCTTGTAAACGTTTCTGGTGGTGTCGGTGATTGGTCCGGGCGAGTCGCCAAGCTGAGCAAGTTCTCTTCTGAGTGCAATATCATCAATTAACAGTTCCTTCGGTAAGCTCTGAATGGTCGACATACTTGAAGCACCTGTTGCAAGTGAGGCACAATAGATAATCTTTTCCGGCAGTTTTACTTTTAACACACATAATATGTTAAATTTTATAATATATCAATAAAACTTGGTTGCTTACCAGACATTCCGTTTTTAATATTGCATTCACTTCCACTAAGAGTACTGAAAAAAAATATCTGATAAGATTAAGTTAGATAAGCTTGATTATCTATTTATTGGAAGACAAGTGAATAACATATTGGTCGAGGGAGAAAATTTTATACGACGCACACAGATATGTTTTATGAGAAAATTATATTTAACTCACGCAAATGATGAAACGCAAAGTCTCCGTTCCAGTAAAACTACGCCTTCTTCGAGATCTTCATATTTATACTCTTGAGTGGTAATATATGAAAGCAGAGACCTGCAATCCAAAATAGAAATTGTATTTTACGCTTGTGTATTTTACAAGTTGTACACAGAGAGAATTTTGTAATTTTTATTTTTTTCTATATAAATTCTTTTCTATATAAATTTTTTTCTATATAAATTCTTTTCGATTTTATTATATTATTTTATTATGTTTCCAGTAGTATACGAATAGAGTGTCAGGAAACTCTATCTTGCTAAAAAACATAATATATTCCACTACAATTCTATAATACATTAGAAAAACAAATCTTTTAATAATATACTTTAGTTTTTAAAACATAAGTAGCACACACAAATATATAAAACTAGAGGTAGTAAGTGGTAAATTACTGCAAAATATCAATCTATTCCACAGTTATAAAATTCTACTAAATTTTTTACTATAAAATTCTCTCTGTATACATTATTACTAAGATGATAAAACATCGAATCATATACTCACGAGCTTCTTTCGATTTTATGTATACTCGAGTTTCCCGTTTCCAGTGTGTCCTCTGCTCCTTTGGAATCGATGTTTAGTTTCAAAGAGTACAATCTTGGACAATTTGGCAAGTAGATTTCACATTTTGCGGGTAAATTCACGATGGAAATGTGCGAATCGTTTTCCGGCTCCGATTTATGTGGGAAAGGTTCGTGAAGTCTATTGCTGCACCAGCTCTTTGCGTGTAAATTACAGGTCTTACTTATGTTCATATGTATATCCTCATTTAATAATTTCTTTGTATCACAATCAACGCAGTCCACATAATTTTCTCCATATAACGAGCTGATTGTGTACGTGGATCCGATGTTATTGATGGCCGAATTTGTCGGATTGCCGGTTGCCTTTCCAATTTTAAAACTATTTTTCCGAATCGTCACAAATGGGGCATTCAGTTGATGGTTTTTGTGTTTCATACAGTCATTTTTGTCATTATCGGAACTGTCGAAAGATTCGTCCTTTTTTCCCATTTGATTAAAACTGTTATCTAAATCCATCTGGCTCGAGTCACTATTATAATGTGCTGTATCATCTTCGTCATACTTGTTATCGTTCAACCTTATTGCCATATAGTTCTGACGTCCTAATTCCACAGTTTCATTAGAGTTTAACAGCAAAGATCCAAAATTAGAATTAGAGTTTAGAATATCATGGTGAATTGCATGTTCAGCCTCTTCTAAGAAAATAGTCTTGCCCAAATTGATCGGCTTTAAAGTGTTACGAATCATACACTCATCGGCAGTAACGTCGTCCTCTTGCCGATAACAATCGGGTCGTTTCCTACTGGAGTGCAGCTTGTATATTGATCTCTTCTTTCTCCTCGGCGTTGACTGAGCGATGTATCTTTTGCACCGATTAAACTCTGAGTGTTGCGTTTGAGTTTTGTACTCGTGGGATTTTTTTAACATTTTCGGGGATAGGCAGCCGCTAACGAGTGACGTTTTATCTATGTTTCTCTTTTCGCCTGCACGAGCCGGTGTTAGAAAATTAGGTGATCTACTGACGATATCATCGTTATGAACATGAGAGAGTATTAATGGAGTCTTGGTAGCATTTATCCTTTTTCTATAATTAGGTGTGTTAAAATTCGGCGACATACTGATAATGGAATTATCCAAGATATACGGTGGTGTTAAGAGAATCTTATCCGAAGTCTTCTTATATTTCTTTCTGGAAGTGCTTCCTGTGCTGAACTTTGAGCACTGCTTTTTTACAGTGGGAGTGCTCGGTTTCAAAATGTCCTTATTGCGATTATGCTTGAGCTTGGACGAGAAGTTCTTCGGAGTTTTGCGATATTCACGAAACGCTTTGATCTTCTCTTTTAATGGGGGCGAACTGAACATATCCGAAGAGTTCGTTACGCTCTCATGTTTATTTTTCTTATAATTTTGCAGAGTCTCATTAATAGTACAATCGCTCGTTAATGTCGTCGAAAGGTGACTAATGATCTTACTGACGAGACATTTTTCCTTTTGCATGACATCGGAAAGATGCAAGCTTGCAAAGTCGAAATCGAGATCAACAAACGAATAGTTTAGCATGTCCTTACTATCAGTCTGTGAAAAATTACTCCCTTCAACAAATATTTCATTATTAGATAAATCTGCAGATTTTATATTTGTATCTTCTTCATATTCCTCCATATCTGTATTGCTCACTGACTCTGTCTCAAGTTTGCTAACATTCATTTTTGATGTATTGTTCAATGTTAAGTTTGTCAAAGAAGAGTTTGGTTTACAACTGTAAAAACCTGTATTATTCTTTGGTGCATTATTTGTGTTTAAGTCTAATACCACATTATGTGATGCAACATATTCAGCAATTATGTCTCCATTAGTAAGTAAAACTTTATCTGCAATATTAAAAATAAAAAGAATTAATAGAGTAAAATGTATAACTTAAGAAACTATGAAAATAAAAAATTTGAAGGAACAAAGTACCAAGCATCATATTATACTTTGGCTCATCGTTATCATCTTGAGTATTCTCGCAATATTTTGCAAGCATCGTCACAGCTTTAAAATACTTCCCATCAAAGGCATAGTGAAATGGACTACGTCCATCACTGTCCAAACACAGTGGATCACCACCATTTGCCAAAAGTAACTCTAATATATTTAATCTACCCCAAGCTGCTGCTACATGGACCGGAGTCATACCATCATTTGACCTAAAATTATATAGAGCTTATTATAGTATTAGCATACATATATACATGAAATACAGTTTATATTTGTGTTTACCTCACATTGGGATCACCACCATGACGTAGGAATAGCTTAGTAACTTCTTCAGCAAATCCCACTGAATCATTGCCGATAACTAAGTGAAACGGAGTGACTCCATGCGTCGGAATTAAAACATTAGGATCTGCATCCTTATTTAACAAAAGGGTTGCCACTTGTCTATAAAAATTTTAATCAGCGAGAAAATATATAAAACAAAAGTAATTATAAAAATTAATATGTATTACATATAAAGACCTTATTATTTTTTACCTTATGTTATTATCCTCAAGCCCATCGCAGAGGGATGAAGCCAAAAACAAACCACCTTTCGCTTTTGGCGTCGACAACATTTTGTTTCCTTCTTTTCTTCAATATCCTTCAATTTTCTTTCTGTTGTCTAAAGATACTTTCCATATTTTATGTGAGGCAGTAGTGTCTACTTTTATACATATTTTACTCGTTATAAAGAATGTACATAAAGTGGATAAACAATATCGGCCAATCGATAACAATTCGTGTTTTGGCTTCCGAGGCAATTGTAGCAAAATCGCTTTACCTGCTCGGGATTTAAAACTACAGTTGGTCTGTTCTTTTTAGCTGCACTGGGCTGCGTTCAGAAACCCTACTCGGTGAGTAAAGTAACATTTAATTAGCCAATCAGAGCAAAAGGAACTAAGATTTATTTATTATGATTGGTTTATTAAAGTAACTCTACCTATTGAGTAGGATTTTTGAATGTAGCCTTGCAGGGTACCTATTATGGACTTCTTCGGAATCAATTCCGATCGGAATAATTCCGTTTCCTCTAGAAAAGACAATAGAAATCTAGGAAATAACTGAATGTTTCCGATCGGAATTGATTCCGAAGAAGTTCATAGGTTTGTCGAGTTGCTTGTACCATTCACACTTTTACACCTAATGCCCGTTGCACACTAGTGCACCTCATACAATACAAATTTTTCAAAATACGTTCTAAACACGCGTTTAGGACGGAGGGATGTCATCAGAATATTTTTAGGACGTCCTTTGAAGATGTAAGCTGTCTGAAAATAGTTAAAATCCAATAAGTTTATTCGTATTAATTGGACTTTTTACACTTTTACACTTTCACACTTAGTGCACATTAATTCTTTAGAGGTCTAAAAATAACGTCATGATTTCGGTTCGTGTTACGAGTTTAATGGCTCCTGCACACAGGACGCGGTAATACTTGCCGCGCGGCGGAAGTCCGCGCGACAGCCAATCAATATGTTGTTTTTTCGTAATGGCACCTGCACACAGAACGCGGTAATGCTTGCCGCGCGGCGGAAGTCCGCACGATAACCAATCAATATGTTGTTTTTCCGTAAAAACTAGAAGGTTATTACGGAAAGCAGCATATTGATTGGCTATCGCGCGGACTTCCGTAGCGCGGCAAGCATTACCGCGTTCTATGTGCAGGTGCCATTACGGAAAAACAACATATTAATTGGCTGTCGCGCGGACTTCCGCCGCGCGGCAAGCATTACCGCGTTCTATGTGCAGGTGCCATTACGGAAAAACAACATATTAATTGGCTGTCGCGCGGACTTCCGCCGCGCGGCAAGCATTACCGCGTTCTATGTGCAGGGGCCATAAGACTGTTTTAAGTTCATTTTCAGATACTGTACGGATCAATTCATTGGCTACAGAGTATCTGGAGATAAACTTAAGACGGCTTAAATATAAGATCCGACTATGAATATCAGCCCTAATGTACGATGATATGATATCCAATAAAAAAGCTTTTTTCTTAGGTTTTTGTAGCACAACACTTTTGTCTCCAAAAAACAAAGTTTCTTATTAGACGTCAACGTGTATCGGATATCGGACGTAGTGTGAATCCTCCATTTATTGGTCATCCGAACACCGCGGCATTGCATTCGTGACCAAATTCGTACTGCACTGCAGCGCTATCTTGCATCATTACGAACGACACTTCCTTGCGTGTCGGACGCGTGCGCGTACGGTGAGTTTAGTGACGCTGTGTCCTGTTGGTGAGAGCCGCGACACTCCGCGGTACCCGTTTAATTCCATACCTAGTGTTTCGCCGTTTAATCAGAATGGATCCCGCAAAAATGACTATGATGCCGCACAGCAAGAAACGCGTCTGCTACTATTACGACAGTAAGTTACCAAAGAAATAACATACTTTGCAAACCCGCGAAAACATCGCACATACATGGAGAGCCTGTCAAATGTGTTGCGCTGTTCGCGCTCGTCTCGCGTGCATATCGCGTTTATTCCGCACAAATCTGCACAATACCCGGCCGCTTGTCGGCCCGTTTGCGCATTGCCGTCCCTTCTTACGATAAGGCATGATACACCGAATTCGCGTGGTCCTATCGTTCGATTGTACGATTTTTGTGACGTTAAGCCGAGAGATTCTCAGCTATGCTTCCGTGCGACCGTAGCCAAGCGTGCGTCGGCCATGCCTATATACTCTACCGTCGTATACCTGAGAATCTTTGTCGTTATCAAGTATCCATGCTTATATATATGTATATATATATACATATATATATATATAAAACACGATTGATACATTTGTAATCCATTCATGCCTCTAATTTCAAATGATGGTTGGTCTACGTGTGATTTGAACTTTCGATGGCCTATGTATAAATTTTGATCTAATAAAACAGAATTTTGATATGACTTGTATTTTACAAATCGCAAATTTTCGTTCGAACGTTACTATTTATAGCGAAATAATGATTTGTGCTATGTTTAACATTGTAATTTACTTCTATTACAAAACAATATTTCATCGTAAAGGCAGAAAGGAGTGTCAAAACTGGCATGTGCAGGTTATGGAATATGCTGAAGTGTAACGATGGATTTTGCGAGATTATTGACTAATACGAAATGTAAAACGCTGTTTTGCGAACGTAATTCGCATTTTCCGAGAATATTTGCTACAAAAGTCACCACTTCGACGAACTCTGTGAGAATCGATATTGTTTTTGCGGGGAATCACGAGAGATTCTCAAGTGTACTACGGTGCACCGTAACCCATCGAACAAAACGCGCGTCATGACAATAACGATATATATTAACATTTCCCATGCATTTTATCACTCATATTTCTGTGTCATTATAATATGTTTAGGTGATATCGGTAATTATTATTACGGCCAAGGACACCCCATGAAGCCACATCGTATAAGGATGACGCACAACCTGCTATTAAACTATGGCCTTTACAGAAAGATGGAGATATATGTAAGAATCGTTCTGTGATTTTCTTTCATTTGCACATGAAGCAGTTTTCTAATTGATCCATATTCTGTTATGCTGTTGAACATGACGAAGTTTTTAAAATATATTTATCTTTTTGTTATCTAGCGACCTCATAAAGCCACAGCAGATGAGATGACAAAATTTCATAGCGATGAGTACATTAGATTTCTGAGATCAATAAGGCCGGACAACATGTCTGAGTACAACAAACAAATGCAACGATGTAAAATATTTTATTATTGATGTCATTGATAACATATATAATAGATGAATTATGAACATTAAAATATATTTCTCTTTTTGTTACAATAGTTAACGTAGGAGAAGACTGCCCTGTCTTTGATGGCTTGTATGAGTTTTGTCAATTATCAGCTGGTGGATCTGTAGCTGCTGCTGTAAAACTTAACAAGCAAGCCTCAGACATTTGCATTAACTGGGGTGGTGGTTTACATCATGCCAAGAAGAGCGAAGCGTCAGGTTTTTGTTATGTAAACGATATTGTCCTTGGTATTCTGGAATTACTAAAATATCATCAGAGAGTTTTGTACATTGATATTGATGTTCATCATGGCGATGGTGTAGAAGAGGCTTTCTACACAACGGATAGAGTGATGACTGTCTCATTTCATAAGTATGGTGAATACTTTCCTGGAACTGGAGATCTACGTGATATTGGAGCAGGAAAGGTAAAGATTTCTTGTCGTAACTTACTTTTTCCTTTTATATTACTCTTGATTGATTTTCTTTTTTGTTATTATCAATAGGGAAAGTATTATGCAGTGAATATACCTTTGAGAGATGGCATGGATGATGAAAGTTACGAATCCATATTTGTTCCCATTATCTCCAAGGTTATGGAAACCTTCCAACCTTCTGCTGTTGTTCTGCAATGTGGTGCTGATTCATTAACTGGTACAGTTCTTTAAATAAGACCACTATGTTGAAATTGCGAAATTACAAAATTATAACATAAATATTGATCATTGGCAGGCGACCGATTAGGATGCTTCAACTTGACAGTGAGAGGTCATGGTAAATGCGTGGAATTCGTGAAAAAATATAATTTGCCGTTTTTGATGGTGGGAGGTGGCGGCTATACAATCAGAAATGTGTCCAGATGTTGGACATATGAGACGTCTGTAGCTTTGGGATGTGAAATTGCAAATGAACTTCCATATAACGATTACTTTGAATACTTTGGTCCTGACTTCAAGCTGCACATTAGTCCCTCGAATATGGCGAATCAAAATACACCAGAATATCTCGAGAAAATAAAGTAAGTAAATGGATTCATAATCTTAGTGCATGCATTATAAGCAGATCAATTCGTAACTGCGTTTAATTGCAGAACAAGATTGTTTGAGAACTTGAGGATGCTACCTCATGCACCTGGCGTACAGGTTCAGGTGATTCCAGAAGATGGTGCTATCATTGAAGATTCAGAAGCTGAGGATAAGATTAATCCTGACGAAAGATTGCCGCAACGCGACTTAGATAAGAGAATACAACATGAAAATGAGTACAGCGATAGTGAAGATGAAGGCGAAGGTGGTCGAAGAGACAACAGATCATTCAAAGTAATAATATATTAATTTGATCTAATTTATTATATTGAGTTAACATATTTATGATATCTCTCTCTCATTATTTTATATATGCAATACCATATATACGAGTATATACAGTATACGTATAGTACTTACTACATATGCAAAACAGGTAATTTTACTATTTCTTGTTAAAGGGATCTAGTCGAAAGCGACCGCGCTTGGAGAAAGGTCAGGAGAGCATGGACACTGATATAAAGAAAGAGGACGATCTCAAATCGGATCCGAAAGGTAATAAAATCACGTATGAATATTAGCATTTCCTATGTTTATATGTGAATTTATCGAAATGTATCAATTGTGCGTAATTTTTTCTTTTATCTAGAAAATGAGAAAGACGAGAAGACAAATCCCACGAATGAGGAGACGAAGAAAGATGGCGGAGCGAATCCCTGATAAACGATTGTTCTAATGTGTCTGAGGAAATGGAAAGATGTCTTTATTTAAATTTAACATATAATCAAGTTTAAGTGATTTATGTGACAGGAGCATATTGGTGCATAGATGTCCGCTGCCTCTACTTTGCCTCGCCATTCGAAAGATCCCCTTGTTTTTGCGTTAAAAAATCCGGAAAAAATTTTCAAATTCTCACAAATAACGAATCTGTTTCTGGCAGCGCCATCGTCGCCGAGATTTACACGTATGAGCGTGTATGTAGCTTAATACGCTCCACAATTTTAATCGTAGACTGATAAATTAAAAAATGTGCAAATATTTTCAAATCAGCGCTTCTCTTTCAGAACAATCATCTGCGATTGAAAACAATTGGAACAGAATGCACGGTGTCCCGATCGATTCAAGATTTTATAATCTGACCGCGGTTCTCTTTATATATACATATATATGTTCAACACGCATATGTCATCATCTCAACTAGTCATCATGTAAGCCAATAATTCCGAGGGACCTTTCTGTGTATCAGTCGATTCTAGAAGTTTACGTAAACTCGCGTCAGCCTTTCGTAGATTTGAAGATTATAAGATATTGGCGACCTTTCAGGGCACCGAGCCGATTCTATCGTTCTAATACTCCAATCAAATTTCTAACGGTTGCATATAATGAATATATACGCCATATAAAGCGGAACATTTAAAGCTATATTCTCTAATGTCTTCGTTGCACACAAATATCGTGCATGTCTAAGAAATTAGCAATAACGAAAGTGGAACTTTCTCCTTGTCGTATTTTTTCTTTAAGCTTAACTCAAGCTTTCTTTATTTCATCTGTTTTCTACATGAGCAACGGGTACATTTCGGATATATCGTTTTGAACGTCCCACTTTGTATAACGTACGATTGCTCGTGCTGTTGACGCAATACACGTCGCGTCGTACGGTGAACCGAACTATAAGTCCATGAAACAATAATACTATCGAAGAGCCAAGATTGATTTATAGGACTGGAACGGTTCGACGAATTCGTTTGCTTCCTACTCTTGTACATACACAACACAAAATTAATCTTAAACAAAGCTCTTGCACGCAATAACGACACAATAGTGATGAAAATCGTCATTTTTCTTGAAAGTGTAAAGTATTTCGTCTCTTATGTATTACTCGAAAGAATAGTGGGAATAGTTCTTTTTAGCAATTTCTCTGTTCATCTGTAAACGAGAGTATATTTCTAGCCGAGACAAGATATTAACGTCGGCCGATATTCGCGTGCGTTATTCGTATTTACGTGCATTCATTACCAGGTAACCTTGTAAGATAAATTTCAATGTTGTCACTACTACATGACGAACCAGAGAGATGTTAAAAAGGAAGAAAAAGAATACCCACCGATTATTTCGAGTGATACACGAACGATGCAAACAAAACGATCAGCAAGTGCAAGAAAGAGTAAAATTAAATTAAAGTGAAATTATGGCGGTTGAGAAATATATCGATTTCAAGTGTAGCTGTAGAATCTTAAGACATACATTAGGCTAGGTTCTCTAAGAAATATGAAAATTATTCTCGTGATGAAACAGGTCTCTCCATTTCTGCAAGACAAAGATTCAAGATTGCGAAAACGTAGCTCCAATTTCGCACGAAGAACGAGGCCTGCGATCGCTCGCATTCTCGATGTTTCTGCAACAATGATTGTGAACTCTGATCCTTAAGTTACGTATTTTCCTTGAATTTCCATTCGTGCGCGACAACAATAAACGTGCATTTTTTGACATCAATTTTATGTACATAAAATTATCTTTTCTTCAAGATGTCGGATCGGAACAATCGATTCTCTTCGCGTCCTCTAAATTAGGGAATCAATCGTGACCAATCTTTTCACCTAATGTGAATTCGTGAAAAGTGAAAAAATCTAACTTTGAAAATAGATAAAAATGTTCACTTCTCAAGTTTATGTTGGAGGAAAAGATTTATCACCTCCAAATACTGCAAAATTATTCACTTATCATGATTTCATGTTAGAGATAAAGATTACATGATTGATTAATAATATCAAGTTCACGTGAAATGTTCATGATTGATGCCCAGATCGAACACGTCGATTTTACTTGTAATAATATCTGTAACTGACCGATACCTACCTACCTACCTACCCACTATACAAAAGTAAGAACAAATTCGAAGTGACATTGCGTATATCTTTGAATCGACCCGAAATACAGATCAAGTATTATATATTTATGTCCACGCGTAAAAGTACATACATATATGTATATATATATGTGTGTATATATATATAGGGGCGTTTTTAAATATTTATAATAAAAAAATAAAGAAATCTATGTGTGGTAGTTGTGGGATTCATTTTCTTGTTCCACGCTGATCTCCATGGCAGAAGCGCGAAGTGTCTAAATTATCACGAAACGTCGATGATTTTGTTTTGATTGCGCTTGAAGAGCCATAAACAATGTACACGCATAAATTATTGTTGCATTAATTGTATTCGACAGAGAAAGCTGCTTTGCAGCTGTTCTGCAACTGTTGCAAAATTCGTGAATCTGGTCTTTTAATGCTCTTAATCTTGGTTGAATTTGCGAACACATATCAGTCAAACTCATAAATTTTACAACAGTTGTAAAGTAATTTTCTCTACCTAATGCAGTCATTATTTCAACGCGTTTGTATGCACATACAACGTACCGTTACTTGGAGAACAAGTCGAATCGGGAGTCAAAATGGCGATAGTCACGAGAAGCCGGTAGGCGTCACGATGTTTTTTCGTCATCGGCGCCTTCCGCAACACGCTTCATCGAGAGCGTGACGCACAATGTAGTTCTTGCGAATGACAAGAATTTTAGAATAATTGCCATTCGGTACATACTAATCGCAAACACGCTACGTCAACACTCAGCGACCCTAACCTCATCGCGACCCATTGGAAGAGAGACGCCTCGATTTATGCCGCGAGTATTTACACATGAAATCACCTTGCGTGCCGAATATGCGTTGAAAGAGTCACGCGATACTGCTTCGCATTTTCCGTTAGTAAAAAGCTTCTTTATCGTCCTGTTTTTCGTAGAAAATTAAGTTTCAGGTTATAAAAGTCTTCGATAATCATACGTGAATTTCACTTGCAGAGGCTCAAGGGAGACGCGATCGCATCATGTGAGACTCACGGCGAGGAAAAGACGCAAGTATCGGACGTAGCGTGTTTGAAATCCCTCTCAAAATGATCTCCCAAATGTCGCACGTGATGACTCTCGCCAACAGCATCATCGGCGTGAGCGTGCTGGCGATGCCGTTCTGCTTCAAGCAGTGCGGCATCGTGTTGGCGATCTTGGTGCTGCTGTTGTGCAGCATCTTGTCGCAACTCGCCTGTCACTTCCTCGTCAAGTCTGCTGTAATATCGAGAAGACGCAACTTTGAGCTATTGGCTTTTCACGCGTTTGGCCACATGGGAAAGTTCCTGGTGGAGCTGTTCATTATCGGCTTCCTCCTGGGCACATGCATCGCCTATTTCGTCGTGGTCGGTGATCTGGGACCTCAAATCATCGGCAAGATGATAAGCAAGACTCCGGGGGACATTCGTACCAGTCTTCTGATTGCCACTGGTGTCCTCATAGTTTTACCTCTAGGATTACTTCGAAACATTGATAGTCTGTCTAGCATTTGCACAGCCACTATCGTCTTCTACCTCTGCCTTGTGCTAAAAGTACAAAAATACATTATACTCACGTAGAAAAAGTATGTTGAATGTGACGCTCATTCACTTGTTCTCTCTCTCTTTCAAATAGGTAATGGGCGAGTCAACCCAGCATATTTTCGCTGGAGATTGGTACGATAACATCAATTATTGGAGGCCAGCCGGCATTCTGCAATGTCTACCGATCTTCTCCATGGCTCTGTTCTGTCAGACACAACTGTTTGAGATTTACGAGACCATTCCCAATGTATCGTTAGAAAAGATGGACGACGTTGTACGAGGAGCGTTAAATATATGCACCGTTGTATACATATGCGTTGGCTTGTTCGGTTACATTGCATTCTGTACCCAATCGTTCACAGGTAATTTGATGGAATCGCGTATCGTGCATGCAATAAACAATTCCAGCAGTCTTTCGCGGCCGCCGTTATCATGTTACATTTCATATCGTTCTCACTCATTGCAGGGAATATCTTACTGAGTTTCGAACCTAGCGTTACGTCCGAACTGATTAAGATAGGATTCGTATTCTCGGTCGCATTCAGCTTCCCTCTAGTCATTTTTCCGTGTCGCGCGAGCTTGAATTCCCTCTTGTTCCGACGGGTACGTATGCTTCAACAGAAACTCTTTCACTAGAGAAAGTCTGTAAGATAAATTATTGTCCCAATGATTGAAATAATGGACTTGTATCTAATATTTCTAAAAGAGTCTTTGAAATTTTGTTAAAAGAAACAACTTCTTTTTTTATGCTAATTTATAAATTTATTTATATTATACTATGAGCATTCGATCATTAAGTCTGTATTATTCTGTAATTAAGGCACGATTCATTTTTCAACTCAATTACTGGTACAGTCCGGCATTATCTGTGGTATCTCATTATAATTGATATTTATTTTATATTTTCTATTATTTTTCGATCATTGATAAAGCAAAGTTTTACGTAAATATTATTTTTTGTTAGTAATTTTTTAATAAAAATATAAAAAAACTGATCGTGCTTTCTTATCAATTCAATCATGAGGACGTTTATCTTACTGGATTCGCTGTTCTCTCTAACTCTTAATTCATATTCTCTTCATTAGGTACACACTCATGAGCCGTCTGTCAATTATCTGCCGGAATCCAGGTTTCGCTGTCTTACTATCGCTGTAGTCAGCATCTCGTTGATCATCGGAATCCTAGTGCCAAACATTGAGTTTGTTCTCGGCATCGTGGGCTCGACGATCGGAGTAATGATCTGTTTAATATTCCCAGCGGTGTTTTTTATATCTATAAGTAGCAAAAACACCAACGAAAGGCTACTAGCGCAGGTAAAGGTTTCTCTAATATTTCAGATCTTTTACATCGTCTCCATGTAATTAATTCTCTTTTTGTGCGTAGGGTATTTTAATCATCGGCGTTTGGATCATGGTTCTAGGCACGTACGCTAATTTGTACGCCATGGAGGAGTCCACGAACACAAAACTGGCAGTGACGAATAAACCGCTCGCTCAGATCAATAATCTACCGTTGAACATAATTAAGGACGATTTGCAAATCATTCCGAAAGCTCCCAATAGCTTGGAGCTCATTCCCAGAGTAAAAGGTATGATGTCACACGAGTTCTACTGTTTTGCCACTGTATTGTTGTCGCCATCTGATTTCGTATTTCTTTCTGTTACAGAGAAACTGAATAAAGTACCTGAGATAAATGTTCTCGATAAGGTGTTGGATGTGAAAGCGAAAGATATTCGGCAAGAGCCGCCGATACCTGTCGAGCGTGTGATCGTCACCGAGAAACCAAGTGCCGATAAGTCTGACAAGATAGTAGCGGCACCCGGTACCCTTGTACCTGAAATAAGAGAAGTCGAAACTATTAAGACATTAAGTGAAAACTCGAACGTGCAGCCACAAGTCGCTGATATCGCTAAGCTCGACGAGTCCGTCGTCACATTGAAAGCGGAAGAGAAGATAAAGATGATTGAGGAAAAGGAGCGATCCGTGGACCTGCAGAAGAATGACAATCTCATTAATTTAGACGCGATAAAGAAGGAGGAGTCGGAATTGGCGGCCGACGGGGACGTCGCTAACGTCAGAGCAGCGGAGCGACATGAGCAACTGAGAAAAACGCTGGAGAAGCACAAGTTGGAACAACGTCAAATGATGCAGGAGCAAAAGGAAATACTAAAGGATATCAAGGAACAGAAGCAGGAATTCGAGAGGGAGAAGCAAAGAATGGCAAAGGACGAGATACTCAAGAAAAGTGAGAAAAAGATGCAATTTAACGCAAAGGAAGATACTTTGGTACAGGATAGTTTGAAAGAAAGCGACAGGAGAGCCGTGGAAACCAACGATGTCAACGTCGACCAGAGTAAACGTAACAAAGAGATCTTGGAGGACAAAGAATGGAATGTAGCGGACAAAACGAAATCAAGCGAAAAGCTGCATACGCCGGACGAGACGAACGACGTGAACACTGCGCCTAAAAATAACGAGAAAAAGTCAGATCCGCTTCTGAAAATCTCTCGGGATATCGCGGAAGAGGCTGAAAAATCGCCGAGAGACGTAGCGATGGATAGGCCCGTTCATATAGAGACGGTCGACCTGGAAACACCCGAGAAGCTATCGATAAGTAAAGAACCGTCGATACGTAACGATGAGACGAAAGTAGGAAGGACAGAGTTCAACGATTCGGAGAGCATGAAGGGTCCCGTCTTGAACGTTTTGTCGAAGGGCGCTCTGCAGAAATCCATCGTAGAAGAGGGACTTGCGAAGGAAATCGACAATCATCAGATAAAGGAAGAAGAGAGAGAAATATTCGTAAACGAAGTTATCAACGGGTCGGACAAGCTGCAAGGGAACCACGACGACTCTCACTTCTCCGTGCCTATAGCGCTGAAAATGAGCAACCAGTCGAGGCCCTACAACGCGGTCGTCCCGTCGCCGAACAAGAGCGAGTCGCAGGTTCAAGCGATACGCAGGGACATTTTGGAGAATTACGAGCGTGAGAAAAGAGACATCGGCGCGGAGGTGAACGCGAGCGATGCGCTAGTCAGTGGAAATCGTTTGGCCGAGAAATCCGAGTCGCTGCTGAAGGACGTCAACGATGGGGATCGTGAGACCTGTTCGAAAGTACGAACGAGTTCCGAGAGACCTGAGGCAGAGAAGGAATTTGAAAAGGGAGCGACGGAATCGAGTACAACTGAGGAATCGTCTTTGATTAAGACGAACGTATATTTGTCCGAACAGGCAGTGACAAAGATGACCCCGATGGACTTGCGAGTCGCACTGAATGCGGAGTACATGAACATGAAGCAGAGGGATTTGAAAGCTCTAAGCTCCAAGGACAATACGGAGATATAGATATTCAGTGAAGAGAAACGGCAGAATTTGTACGGCATAATATTAGAAGAATTTATTTATGATATTGATCAGCTGATCGTTGATTTCTCTCTTTTTCTCTATCAGTTGTGTTGTATATTTTATTTATACTTCATAATTAGAGTATAAATTATTATTGAGTTTGACGGGAGTAATTACCGTTAGAACTGCAGTTTGATCGAATTTTTAAGACGATTACATTTATATTACACTTTACGATATACTTACATGTAGAACATTTTTTTATAAACGCGAATTTACTTATATATTGATTAAAACTTGTTTATTTTGTCTGTTAACTCTAAACTCTTCACTTTTCTTTGTTTTATCTGCCAATGAAACTTAAACAAATCGGTCTAATCTAATCTATATGTGTCTTGTTATAGATCACCTTTTTATAACGTCACGACTATAAAAAGAATGAAGGTACTTGTTTAAGAAATTCTAGATAAGATCTAATACAAAATGTATTTTTACATTGTACAGTTCGTGTCAGCGAAATTTCGTCGCTCGATTTTCGAAAATAAAGCATCCAGTTCGATGAGATCTCAATCTCGTTTGATAAATTTTTATTTATAATTAGCGTGTATATGATATTACGTTATAACGGTATACAATATTTTTAATATTGTGTTATATATATATATACACTAGGTACAATGTACTCGTAATAATGTACAATGTACTATGTACAATGTAATTCAGAGAGACGTCGGTTCCGGTTTGGGTTCTGTCATTTCTGTATCTCTACACATTGCGTGTTGTAATTCTCTTCTGATTTCAGGGGTGATTGAATGATGCGACTGTTTCCTCAGTAAATCTAACAGAGCCTCCTTCTGCTCAGAACTGATATCGCTCTTGTATCGTTGCACAAAAGTCAGGAGAGCCTGATGCCACAGCACTGGCAGTTCTCTCTTGTCTCGCTCGAATCTGGTGGATCGTATTCGACATGAGAAGCAAGTAGTTCACGATGAAACGCAGCCATCGTAGCTTAAGAATCGTTTGCAATGTGTGGTTACAGTTAAGTTTTAAATACATAGCACTAGTCTTTGAATCGATCATTTATTCATTTCCTTCACGTAAGCTCGTGAAAAATGAAAAGTTTTATCGAAGTCATGTATGAACAGGTTCACACGAAGAAAATAGATACATAATCGATTCAAAGACTAGTGCTATGTATTTAAAACTTAACTGCGACCGCATTGTAGACAATGCTGTGAAAATACATCTTTGCAGATCGTATATAACTTACCTGAGAAAGTGAAACACTACTCCATCTACTACTCTGTACGGAAGTGCGTATTTTTTGTCCAAAAATATCCGCAGAAAGATGCTATTCGCACCCGTGTAATCCATTTCCGCGATTTTCAGTAAGGCTGCTGAGGAGTGCAGAATCGGTATGGAGTTCTTCGCGATTACGGAGCCGACGATCACAGCCTCCCTGAGCGTGCACGTGCCGGATTCCAAGAGCGGCAGCAAGATTCCCTTCATGAATCCAGCTGGCTTGTAGAGCGCCTTCCTCAGCGCTTGATACAGGTGAAAGTTCAGTCTTTTGTATTCTGCCAAATCGTCCCGGATTCGCGGTAGCAGGACCAGATTGTAGAACCTCTGGGCCATCTTTTCCTTCAGGTTGGAAGCGAATATCCTGGTTGCTTGGTACATAGCAGCGGCGGACCACTGTGGTGGGTTTGTGATGTAGAGAATCTGTTCCCAGTTTCTGAGGCTGGGTATTATCTTGAAAGCTTTCGGCAATTTGCCGCTGCGATACTTGGCCAGGACGTCTCTGACGCCCTCGTACATCGTCTTGACTCGCGGATCTAGTTCCTGAAGCTGTATAGTGCCAGCATCTGAGAACTGTGTCTCGATCTCAGTTTTCTTCTCCGTCAGTTTCTCCAATATTATGTCCGCCAGCGTCCTCGTGGGCACCGGGTCTTTGGACATGAACATCTGCAACGCGCGTTCATCCTCCTCGTTTATTTCGATGTTCTCGTAGTAAGGGATGTCTTCCACCTTCTCTTCGTCACTGGACTCCTCCACATCGCTGAAGTCAGTTCCTAGTTTTACTGTCGGTTTCTTCACGCTCGTGGAATCGCTTAAACCGACCTCCTCCTCGAGCTCTTGCTGTTGTTGCCTGGCTTGCGACAGGATCTTTTTCGTCAGAGTAGGAGCTACATACTGAATAAGAAATGGTTACACAAGTGTATTTCCTGACACGTGTCATCTCATTTAAGTTATTATTATCAATTTATATTAATTATAGTTTTTAGAATCAAGAATATTCGTTTTTCTTCTAGGGATACAAGATATGAGAACTAACCTCTTCGTCTTCGTCGGTCCGGTGCCTGACTTTTTGTCTATTTTTGAATTTCACCGTTTTCTCGAGTTCTATTTGATCAGCCAGCCCTATTTTGGGGCCGCCTTTTGATATTTTGACTTTCTTCGCTTTAACCATTTTATCGGCACTATCTGGTATCTTCAACTATTAATCAACAAATCCACATGGCCACACGACAAAGAAAGCTGCTAAAGACGGCCACGCGCACACGGCCGGCGCTTTGGTCGACACCGATTTTCACAACTAGTCTGTTTCCAAATGCTGTTTCTAATTTTTGGGCGTGTTCTCCTTGAATTAAGTGCAAGCTCAGTCCGCGTGGTGTCACTTGAATGCAACTTAGAAGTGCCTATAGTTCGTATATCAAGTCTTTATATAAATTATGGTTTTGTAATTTGCGCGCGAAAACCGGGCGAGTATACTGAGGATTGTCATTTAATTGATAAATATTTGTTGGAGAATAATTACGGGTGAAAAGACGACGTCGAGCGAGAGTACTTATATAAATTTGTGAAAAATGGCGAGCAAAATATCGAGAGATTATGTTAAAGATAAAGGTAATTTCTTTACGTTTTTCATATAACCATGCAACACATATCCCTTGAATTCTTATAATGGTAAATATTTAGAATATATTTACATTTTGATACGCTAGTGAAAACGTTGCCTATTGAAATAATATGAAACATAACATTTTATATTTTTTTACAATTGTTTATGGAAAGATTTTTATTTATTCAGTTAATTTTACTGTGATTACTTTCAATAATTTTCCTAAACATAGTAAGCTTACTTGCTAATATAAATGTAATAAACATTTTAGAGCAACTAAAGACTTTCTTCCTGGAGTTTGTTTCAATGGATGATAATATGCCGGATAAGTATTTTAAATATAGAGAGCAACTCACCAAGATAGCACACAGAGAACAGATTAGTTTTGAGATTGATTTGGATGATGTGCAAACATTTGATGATGATCTAGCTATGTCCATTGCGAACAATACACGAAGATATACTAATTTGGTTTTAGATGTATGTACACAAGTGAATTATTGCATGAGATTTGAAATTAGACGCAAATAACTATTCAGTTATTATATATGACATGAATGTATACCTCATAATTGTATGACAATAATTAAGTTTCTTTATGTAGCTGGTTCAAGAGATGCTACCTGACTTCAAAGAAAGAACCGTTTTAGCTAAAGATTCTTTGGATATTTATATGGAGCATCGATTACTAATGCAAGCTCGCAATAGACAACCAGGTGACACTCATGATACCAGAACACAATATGCTCCTGAATTGATGCGTCGTTTGTAAGAAAATTTAATTTATGTGAATATATTTGTTAAAACAAGACAAAATCTTGTAGTTCATAAACATAATTGACTTTTAGTGAGGTATATTTTAAAGATTTCTCCGATTCAAAAGCCTATTCAGTAAGAGATATCAAGGCGGACAAAATTGGGAAATTAGTGACAGTTAGAGGTATTATTACAAAAACTACTGAAGTGAAGCCAATGATCGTTGTAGCAACATACACATGCGATGAGTGTGGTTCAGAAGTGAGCCAGCCTGTAAGTAAACTGAAATCAAACTCCTTTTAATTGTATTTTTGAGTTTATTGATAAATTCTCTATAATTTTTATAATTTTTTATAAAAATATTTCTATTTATTCTTTTTACACAACTTGTCATTGCAGATACAATCTTTAAGTTTCATGCCATTGCGAACCTGTCCAAGCGACGGATGCCGTGTGAATAAATCGGGTGGCAGATTGTACATGCAAACAAAGGGCTCGAAATTTATTAAGTTTCAAGAAATGAAACTACAAGAACACGTAAGTTTATGAATACTCGGAGATCTTCAATTATTAGATAGTTATTAATGCTTGCATTTTACAGAGTGAACAAGTCCCAGTCGGTCATATACCACGATCCTTGACTATTTTCTGCAGAGGTGAAACAACAAGGAACTGTATGCCAGGCGATCATGTGATTGTGACTGGTGTGTTCTTGCCTTTCGTGAAGACTGGTTTCAATGCCAGATCTGGCCCTTCACTTTCTAGCGAGACTTACTTGGACGCGCATGTAAGAATAAGTATATTAATTTTACGATCACAGTTTCTTGTTTTCTGTTGATTGGTGTAAAATGAATTTTTTGTTTTTTTTTTTCAGAAAATAATATGTCTTAATAATACAGACTCGACAGACGATAGTAACACCGAACTGACTGCTGAAGAACTAAATTTACTATCGCAAGACGATTTTTATGACAAATTGGCTTCTTCCTTAGCTCCCGAGATTTATGGGCTCGAGGATGTGAAGAAAGCGTTGCTGTTGCTACTTGTCGGTGGAACGGACAAGAAGAAAGGCGATATTAAGATTCGAGGTAAATAGAAGTATGAATTTTTTATCACAATGGATTTCTTACATCAATTTAAGAATTTAATATCTTTATTCTATATTAATTCAAACTGGAGATTTGATTTATTGCTTATGTGTACCTTTTTGTCCTATTTTATTACGAACGTATATGATATGACAAAGTAATAAATGATTTTTTTCAAAATGATAATTTAACTGAAACGTTACTCGTAGGCAACATTAATATTTGCCTGATGGGAGATCCTGGTGTGGCCAAGTCGCAGTTGTTATCTTACATCACGCGATTGGCTCCAAGATCACAATATACTACTGGAAGAGGATCTTCGGGCGTAGGTTTGACCGCTGCCATTATGAAAGATCCTCTGACCGGTCAAATGGTGCTGGAGGGTGGTGCTTTAGTATTAGCGGATCACGGAGTATGTTGCATCGACGAGTTCGATAAGATGGCAGACGCGGATAGAACTGCGATCCACGAGGTGATGGAACAACAGACTATATCGATCGCCAAAGCCGGTATAATGGCCCGCTTGAATGCCAGAGTCTCCATATTAGCCGCTGCCAATCCGGCTTACGGCAGATACAATCCACAGAGAACGATTGAACAAAACATTCAATTGCCCGCTGCGTTGCTATCGCGATTTGATCTATTGTGGCTCATTCAGGACCGTGCAGATCGAAGTAACGATCTCAAGTAGGTATCAACTCATCAAGTTGCTTCTTTCAGATATATTTAAATTGTCTTTAATTTCATATATTATATTAGATTTAGTTTCCGGGTTTGAGCCGCGTGGATTCAACTTTGTTTGATTCCGACGTTTCGCGAACATTTCAGTCCGCTTCATCAGGGAGGAACGACCCGATGCCGAGTTGCTCCTGAGAAGTCTTCCTTTATATAGTAGTTGGTATAGGGGAAGAGGAGGGAGGAGAAGGGGGTAGCAAGGAGGATGGTGGTGGGGAATTTGTTGTCTGTCATGTTTTGGAAACCGGGAGGACGGATTGCTAGGTTGGACTGATTTTTTGTCCATTATCCCTGTTGAGATTGTTGGAGTGCTTTTGAATTTCCAAAGATTTCCTGTATTTCCTAGGGAAGTAGTTGTACTGTTATTTCGTTGAACAGGATTTTGTATCTGCTTTCTGAATTGTGTTCCGCTAGTGCTGACTGCGTTACATTTTTCGGTTTGACTGCGCTTTGATGTTCCTTTATACGTGTCCTTCTAGTTTCTCCTATATAGACTTTGCCACAGGAGCAGAGGACTCTATATACTCCAGGAGTGTCTAGTGGAGGTCTTCTATCTTTTGGGTTGTTCAGATACTGTCCTATTTTTGTTGATGGTTTGTAGATAGTTTTGATATTGTATTTTTTCAGGATTCTGTCAATTTTGTCTGTAATTCCCTATATGTATGGAAGGAAGGTAGTGATGGAGTTTTGTTCTTTTTTCTGTCCCTGGAGTTGTTCAGTCTGTCAAGTGCTTTGATGTCTTCTGGTTTCCTGATTGTGTTTTGTTTATCTGTGTTGTAATATAATTATATTATAATTTATTTAAATTTTATATAAAGTTTATATATGCTGGTAAATTAATGCAAACATTTGTTTTGTTATAGACTGGCGCAGCACATCACCTATGTTCACCAACATTGCTCGCAACCTCCGACAGAGACGCAAGCTATTGACATGAAATTGATTAGAAAATATATAAACCTGTGCAAAGCAAAAGAACCCGCCGTATCGGAGGAATTAACGGAATATATTGTTGGTATGTATACGCATAAATAACATTATTATAAAGTTGTCATATATTTATTATTTTAACATATGATTGTGTCGAGTCTTAAAATTACTCATTATCGTATTTGTACTTTAAAGTATTTGACGGATATTTTGCAAAATTATATCGTTGTAGATTCTTACGTAGAAATGCGGAAAGAAGCGCGTAACAGTCACGATAAGACATTTACCTCCGCCCGTAACTTGCTGGCTGTTCTTCGACTGTCGACGGCATTGGCGCGACTGCGACTGGTCGACGTGGTTGATAAGGAAGACATAGCGGAGGCGAACAGACTGGTCGAGATGTCCAAACATTCTATCAATTACTCTGAACAACGCACAAACAATACGCAACAGAATCCGACTAACAGAATCTTCCATTTGATAAGGGAACTCGCCGGCGACAAGAAGACTGTCAAAGTTTCAGATATCCTGGAGCGATGCACGAGCAAAGGGTTCAAACCTGATCCTATATATAAGTGTATCGAGGAGTACGAAGCGTTGAACGTGTGGCAAGTCAATCAGACCAGAAGAATGATTACTTTCATCTAATTCTTTAGCGCGAAGACCGTGTCCGTCGCTTATAATTATTTTTGTACCTTGAAAGGCGTTTGCAGTAACGAAAGGTTTGCATTTTTCAATTTAACGTCTCCCCTTATATATACTTATAATTACATGACATTAAAATTATTCCAATATAAACACGTATTAAGATTGTTTTGATAGAAAATTAATTGATTACTACACCTACTACACCAGATTACCATGCAAATCCATTCAAGCTTATATTAATAATCCTTGAAATTTGTTTTACGTGCGAAATACTCAGATTAGATCTCAGCTTTTGTGATTGAATTATGATATATATGACGTTTATATATAATTGCAATTTTTATTTTCGACCAAAAAACTAATTGCGTATCTCTCTCATATCAGTTGTAACAACTATTAATACGGACTTCAATCCTACGATATGTTATTAACGAAACACCTTGTAATATTGAATGAAATTATCTCTAGGTACATTTCTTAGTAAAATTACCTCTAGATAGTACCTTTCATTAATGATAAATATAAGCACGGATGGTCGACAGAAAATTACCCTCCGGCAAAAGACCGTTGACGGTAAGTTACCATCACGAGCGTGAAGTTGTGCGGATAGATTCGTTGGTGAGCCGCGAGATGTCGCTGCACTCCGTTTCGTACATGTCACGCTTCGGCCACAAACGGACATGCGCGCCACCGGCCGAGGCGGTTCGAGCTGTTTTTCACTCGCGTCAATTTCAGTCTCGTCGAGTCGCTCGTGACGGGTGTGCGCGTTTCGCGTCTCGTTTTGTTCGCTCTCGCGATCACGAGTCCGCCTGCGTGCATGCGGCCGTGCGTACGTGCGTGCGCCTGTCGTTTGTTCGTTCGTCTGTCCATCTGTCTGTCAGCCAGTCGTGCGTGTGTGTGTACACGCATACACGCGTGAAGTACATACTTTCATCTCGCATTATAACACGAACTGACTGGCCGGGAGCGCTGTTGAATATACGTGATATTGCCTGGACTCGTCGCGATCGCCGTCTTTGACCTCTCTTCTTTCTCTTTCTTTCTCCCCCTGTCTTTCCTTTCCTCCTTAAAGTCCTCCTCCTCCTCCTCCTCCTCCTCCTCCTCCTCCTCCTCGTCATCCTCCTCTTTCTCCTCCTTCTCCTCCTCCTCTTCTTCTCTTCTTTCTCCTCCTCCCCTTGTGAGCGCCTCAAATGTTCGCGCCGCATGCTCCGAGTGCTCGCAACAATACCGCCGCTCGTTTTCGCCGTCGTGCCGTCTGACGGCGCGTCCGCTGATCGTTCGAGGAACGATCATCGCGTTCCGATACGGTGAATGACTCTACAAACGATCGATCCTAATCTGTAGAAAACTGAGAAGAAGAAGCTGCAAAAGAACGAGCGAGGAGAAGAATCTAGGACCACTGTCGAGAAGAAAAACGATTCCTCGCGAGTATCTCCGCCGCCGATTTCTCGCGCGCATTCCCCTCGGGTTTCTCCTCTCCTCTCATCTCTTCTCTTCTCTTCTCTTCCTCCGGCCGTCCGTCGCGCCGGGGCCATTTTGCCGAAATGAAAATAACACCGCGAGCCACGCCGGTCCTGCTCGCGATCATCCTCCTCTTACACGATTGCACCCGCACGGCATACACGAAATCGTCGCTCCGTGTGCGCGCCGTCGACAACGACAACGACTTCCTCATCGCCGTCAACGTCACAGACTGCGACCGGGTCAAGCCGTTTTTCGACAGCAAGAACATCAGTCTAGTGCCGGCGAAGGATCTTTCGAAGAGTAAGTCACTTTCAAGCTCTTTTGCACTCGTGTCAATGTTTCGCGTCGTCGTCGTCGCGTTGCAGGGTATCCCTTTGAATTTTTAATCACATTACGATCGTTCGCTTCTCCAATCGATTACGGCCAATTTTTCGGCGTGTCTCCGTTCAATACTGTTCCGATTATAAACGAAAAAAAAACGGCGACGCGAAATATTCCTCCGGAGGAGTCTCCGGTTTTATAATTACGATGCTCTTTATCGATGTTGTCAATTTGAGGTCGTTAATGTCAAAGACTGTTAGTACTCGCGAGTAAACATTGCGGCGGAACGCCCGAGCGACAACGTAAACATTAACTTGGTCAACTTCCACTCGTCGGACCATTGACATTGCCAGGGATCAATTTTCATTCCGAAGCGTGTCTCGATCCGCGATCTGGCGGACGACTTTTCTGCGACAACAAGTGTTTCCTCCTACAGTTGCGATCAATTGATCGACGTTCATTTCGATTAAGATTAAACCGACTTGCTCGAGCTCGCGTGTTCGACAGTGACGGCCGACCAATGAATCGTCCGTTGACAACAGACGTGATACAGCTTTTTTAAACTGACACTCGATCTCATACTTAGTCGAGAACGAGGAAGATACAGGAACAGAATCGACATTTCCACAAGCGAAACGTATGCGACTAAACAAGCGGCGCGATTAAATACGAGTATTTTTACCATTCAGTAATAACGATTATTAGCTCTCGGCACGATAACACGATATACACCACAAGAGCAAAGTCGATATTTCCGTGTTTGTGGTAAGACAAGAACTAATGTTCTAATTCCGTACATTTTTATTGTTTTACTCTTTAAATATGTATATTAAAATGCATAAACTGTTAACATACCAAAATGTGTGTATATATATATATATGTAAACATGCATTCAATATATGCATATATTCTATATTGGAGAAGTTTAAATTTAGTTTAGTTTAAAGATCAGAACAACAAGAATGCTCAGGATTAGATACACACACAGAGAGAATTTTATAGTAAAAATTACTATAGAATCTTATAACCTATTGAAAACAGATTGACACTCTGTAATAATGTGCCTTTGAAGCATAGGCCTCATGATGAGAACACCAAGAAAAGTAAAATATTTTTAAGATTATAATTTGTCAACACATTAACGTTACAGCTTTATAAATTCTTCCTGTACATCAGGAAAAACAGCAGAAATCACACAACTTAATTATTAGAGAAGATAATTATCTTCTCATTTCATGTGAGCCGTTTATATTTTGGAAACTGAAGTGTGCTATTAAGAAATTTGCTGTGTTTCCGGTGTTTGCTGTGTGTCAGGAAAATTGACTATTAAATTTGTTTCAATATTGAATTGGATCTGACACTATCCGAGTACCCGATTATTCGAATAACGGATAAATATGACATTTCAAATACGAGTTATGCGCAGATCCGCGTATTTCATGAGATACACGAACAGTTGAAACGTCGGATCCGAATCTAAGTTTTCGACGGAGTCGGTCAAACATGACCGTGGCAATAGAAATCCCTCTCGAATATTTGACGATTAATAAATCGGTATAGATATACTGTTCCAGATCACCATTCTCAAACTTCGCGAGAGAACGTCGAACGGATGAGGTGAACATAAAGTGCCATACCGTTTTGCGATATTATATACGCGAAGTTTGAGGATGGTGACCCTATAGATATAAATATAGATTCGGATCCGGATTTGACGCTTCAACTGTTCGTATTTCTCATGAGATACGCAGACACCCGAATAATGTGCTTTTGAAGTGTTAGATCGGAATCGATCTCGAATACCCAGATAGTCATTTATTTGAATATTTAGGAGCCCTATTTACTATGTTCAAGTGAGCAAGTGAGACCTTGTTGACAATCTGTCACTTTTTTCACTGCTAAAAACATAGTAACATTGAAAAGAACTTATACAGAAAAAGAGAGAAACTATACTATGTATTTTTTCCCAATGCACGTGTCCGGAAATTAGTATTTTAAAGCTGTATCTCGTGTATATTCGGCGGGAAATGTACCGAAAGCGGACTTGATCCATCTTTATTTTCGCCGCTGCGTCAACGTGTAATTCACTTGACTGAAACTTGGTCGAGACGCGGTTCAACATCCGTCCTGTTCGTTTCACGGTAATTTTTTTTTTCTTCCCCCTCCCCCCCTTTTTCTCTCTCTATCTCTGTCTGTCTCTTTTCGCGGTGTCAGGTTTTATGTGGAATTTATCAGACATATTAGGCTCCAATTTGACTCGACTGAATACGAGATTTTCCATTATCGTGGTGTTCGTTCACTTGCATATTCGGGAGAACGGGTAGTTGAATAAAATGGAATTCTTCCGAGAACCTATAGTCTGTCTCGCGCGATTGATTCCAATCGGGGAGGTGAGACCTCTTCGGGAAAGGGGGCGAAGAATTTAATGCGCGTCTCGAGCAATTCTCCTCGGATCTTCGAAATCGATCCTTCGTAATGATTATGCGCGCTCTCGAAACCCCGTATCGCTGCCGTGCCGCGATTTATTTTTTTTTCGCGACCTGATTCCTTCACATTCTCTTACGTGTCCGTCGCGTTCGTTCCACGAGCGATCTTGATTTATGACGCTTCTCGGAACTTTGAAGCTATTAATCCTATTGGCTAATACGACTGCGACGCAGCACACATTGCGTAACACGTGTCCGTTTCTTTCTTCGTCAACGTGACAAGTTATTCGTCGCTCACGAACCGCGACAACTTATTTTTAACGATGTAAAAATAAGGAGGAAGACATACACGCGCGTTATCATTACGTGCTCGATGAATATCGGCAATAACCTCTCTTCGCGCACCAAAAAAAAAAACAGTGTTTGGTATTCATTACTGTAATCATATAATAAAAAAATTACATAAAAAAATATGTGTATATAATCTCATCCTCAGCGCGGAATCCTCTTACGTATGATCTTAAGAGGACTCTTCTGAAACCAGAAAGAAAATATTCTAAACACAATATTATTTCTCCTCATTAGAAGAGGAATATTTTGTCGGTAGAAATTATCACTTGGAATATGGGATATGGGCTTAGAAAATATCTTACAACTAGAATTCTTGTATCTTTGATATTTCCCTCTTGAAATTTCAGAAGAATCCTTTTGGAGCCATATCTGCTAAGAATGAGATTGTATTTTGTTTATTGTACAGAGTCGGGAGAAGTATTTTTGTACACACACCAAATCTTACGTTAATTATTTTCTACAATGTTAATTGTATACATTGCTATACATCTTGCGTATACATTGATATCGCTGTTTTCTTGTTGGAACAAGAAGATATACAGTTTGTGCCGGCAATAACATTAACTCTTGATGAGGTCAACCGCTTTTTCTCTCAGCGCACGAGCGGAGAAATAACGTTCGCCGCAGTGCCGATATTTGTATTGTGTCCGTATCAAAATTCACTTATCCGCGCTTGTTTCTACATTTATTCCTCGACTTGGCTCCTGCACACTTGCATCTTCGTGTTCGTTCTATTTACCCACATTTTTCTCTGCGCCACGCACATAATATAAATGTATAATCCGTCCAACGAATAAGCAATACACAACCCCGATCTCTTTAAATTTGATGCGGCGTTCGCGCTAGCGCGAAACCGGTTCGCCCGCCGGCGAAGAGGGACGCGCGCGTCATCCGGATTTCGATCAGGATTTCGATCGCGATCTCTCGCGACGGCATTATTTCGCCGCGATCGCGAGCGAAATTATCGCGCGGCATAACGTTATTATTACCGCGCGGCCTCCCGCCGAACATGGTGATTAACGTAATGCGCTAAGCGCGCGCGGCCGGCAGAATGCGCTCGGCAACTTCTATTTACCTAGGCTGCGTTCAGTTTCACGCATTATGCATGCTTTTGCTGCGATACAGGGTGTCCGGTAGGACATTCACAGAGGAGCCGCGATGTACAGGTAGATCAGGTCTGACTGAACAAAAAGATTCCTCCACCATTTTGCGAACAACACGCGAAATTCTAAGTAATCAATCAGAAAAGATTCGTGAATGATCACGCGCCATACGAGCTGTGATGGCGACGTCTGTCACATTGAGAGAAATGACTTGGTGAATGACACTATACTCGTCTTATGAAAGTAATATGGTGAATTTATATGCGATATCTGGTTCACATATCCAATATTCTGATTACGATGCCTCGACGCGACTGGTAATCAATACTGAGACATTTAGTTGTAGACATCTAGACCGTTTGGTAATTCTCTCTAGACGTGTGATACTATTGACGCGATAGTTAATTGTTACTCGCTGTGACGTTTCCTTTTTCATCTATACTAATTTGTAAAGACGTCGGTGCTATAAAAGAGTAAACGCTGAAACCGTCAAATATTTGGAAGAATGAAATTTCTTAAAATATGTCGACGAATTTAGAAGTAAATATACAGAATAAATAGAAGTAAATATACAGAAATATAGAAGATTATATACAGTAAGTATATGAAAATTATATATAATATGGTTAGATTTTAGGTTAGGTAAGAAGTCTAACACTCCATAACTGTATTAATAACATTCACCAAATGAATTGTATGCTGTACCAGACGGTTTAGTAAACGTATTTAAGCATTGCTATAATGTTACTTAGATAATGCGCTCACCAGATGATTTAGTATCATTGACTAGATATCTTGTTACACGATTATTCACCATACCGTTTGGTAAACTTAAATAGAACTCTGGTTAATATCATCAGATATTTCTCTCAGTGTACGTTTGTACATTAGGTTGAACTGAACAAAAAAGCTCTCTACCATCTTTTAAATGATCACATACATGTTTAGTTATTAATTAAAGAAGATTGTTGTGCAAAATGATGCACCAGTCTTCCGTATAACGCGTAATCATCCACTAATGTTCTTTGATCAATAACTCTAAATTTTACGTGGTTGTTTGCAAAATGGCAAAGGAATTTTTTTTGTTCTGTTTGACCTAATCTGCCTAGACACCGCGGTACCTCCGTCAGTTACCGAACACTCTGTATACGTAACACAAATTATAGATAATTGCGCGCATATGCATGAAACGGAACAAACTCGCGCGTGTAGAAATTATTAACGAGGCGGGCGATCGTGGCGGAACAGAGGCGAACGACGCGGAGACGATGAGCATTTGGAATATCGAGACAAATTGCGGGTGTATGTAATTCCGCTCGAAAATCATCATCGAAAATCCGTGTACGAGCGGGCTACATGAGTGTAAAATGGTGCTTATGGAGAAGGGGGGCAGTCTGAAATTCGATTAATTTAATAGAATGTAATATCAGAGGGCTAGAAGGGGAGAGGGTAAAACAATTCGACGCGGCACTATTTCCGTTTGATCGAATTACCGGAATCTACGATCGGATTTTAATCGCGTTTGTCTTTCACGAATGAGATTTGTAATTTTCGCACGAAAATAGGTCAGAGATAGCTGGACTTTGGGAAGTACGGGTTGGCGCACGAATGAGTGAGTGAGCGAGCGAGCGAGCGAGCGAGTAACCGAACAAGCGTGCGAATTTCTGCGGCTTAATGTACAATTTATATCCCCTCGCGCTCTCTTCAATTTGATTTAACTCGAGTTGAATAAAAGGGGAGCGCGCGCCTTCGAACTCCCGTTTTCGCGTGAATACATGTATGTGTGTGTGTGTGTGTGTGTGTGTGCTTGTCGCGCAGTAACACGAAATACAATTTTTCTTGTCTCTTTTCTCATCTCTTTCTCTCTCTTTTTCCCCAGCAATATGCGGAGGCAAGTGCTGCGACGAGGAAATGGAGAAGCAATTGAAGCAACAAGCCCGGGCGGATTTTCACAATCTGATTCATCATCACAGTAGGACTCTGCAAGGTCTCCTCATCACCACCGCCGACTTTCTCAGAGGTAGTAAGAGACCTTTCTCAGAGGTAGTAAGAGACCTTTCCCGTAACTTGTTGAAGCATGCCGCCGCTAAAATCACCGAGAGAACATTTCTCACACGAACGTAAATAAATAAAGAGATAAACACGCTTGCTTGTGTGGAAAACATACGTTTGTTTACGTGCGTGTGTTTTTTTTCTTTTTTCTTCCTTTTTGTTCATCAAAATAAATGTTTAATGTACATTTCGGCGATTTGAGATCGATTCTACCAGTGTCGGTTAGCTCCCGTGTATAATTCGAGAAACTCTCCCTCTTGCTCCTTATACTATGATAATAGCTATGAGGATGATAAGTAGTATTGTTAATTAAAATCGATCGATTATTAATAAACACCGGTAAAAACGATCTTTAATATTAAAATTCTGTCTCGTGTCTTTCTTAAATTGTCTCTCGGTGAATTTTCTACGCGAAAATTCAACAACAAATAATTAACAATGTCCGAATCTTCACCACCGCGCAAAACCAACTCAACGACGACATTATTGAGTATATTTATTTCAAACGCGAATACGGTAAACAAACCGAGTTTATGCGTAAACAAAGCGTAAACAAAGTCGTACATAACACATTCGTGTGTTATACGGAAAGCAGTTTATAGCAAGAATGTTTGCAGAATTTTGCAGTGGAAGTATAATTTTGCGATTGACATTTTGCAGTAATTTATTATCTTTTCATTTTATACGTGCTATTTATATTTTTCGGACTGAAGTATGTTGTTAAAAAAACTTGCTATGTTTCTGACAAAATTTACTGTGTTCTTTAGTAAGATAGACCTCAGTGATAATTTATGTTTGTACTATTAGAAATGTAATTTGAAAAAAATTGAAAAGAATTTGTATGAAATGGAAAGCTATAATATTCTGTCTGCGTATAGCGGACGAAATTGCATTCCGAATACTATCCCGGAAGCGTGTATGGCGCGCAAGAAAGAGAGAGTCAGAGAAATACCGTAATCGCTGGAATTACCGAATTATCCCGCGAAGAAGGGTGGCGGATTGAGAAAATCCTCCAAAATGCACCGTCGAAGCTACAATAGCGCCCAGCTGTATAGTATCCATTCTCCCAGCAGAAACTCGCGCAAGTCACCTAGAGTTTATCCTCCGTTTTCGCCTTTTCATCGTCCAAATTCTAATTTTTCACTCGATCTCCCGGAGTAGTCACCATTTATATAGATTTGTATTGGCAAAAACGTGTCAAAAGGAAGGAGGGACGTTTATTCCGTTTTCTGCTTTGTCAAGATTTCCGTGCTCCTTGTCGCTTTCGTTTCGACGATCAAAAGAGAGGAAAGAAAAGAAAAGCCACGCGCGCGCCCCGAAAGAATACCCGACCGCAGACTTATAGAATAGACTGCTCACTTATACGGGACAAGCGATGACAAAAGTTCAAAGGATGGTTAATATGCACTAAGTCAAGTGCTTCCTCTGTCACACAGTACTTTAGCAGATAATGTAGAAAAAAACAAAAGAGAGGATGAAACATAGCGGAAAAGAGAGAGGACGCAGTACGAGATCGCTTCTTCTTCTTCGTTCTGCTCACCAATTAGACAATTAGACAAGAAGAGCATCTTGTTCTCTATGATCCTCTCTCACTGCTGACTTTATCCCTCTTACAGCAATACGCGGTCTATTCTATAATTGTCGAACCGACAATTATCGCAGATGATTTCGGGCGAACTCGAGATCTCTCTGCGGGACTCCTTCGACGAGGCCTCGTCCGAGGAAGAATCGAAGTCGTAGGCTCCGCGTGTCGCTTTATACTCACCAATTAGACAATTAGACAAGAAGAGCATCTTGTTCTCTATGATCCTCTCTCACTGCTGACTTTATCCCTCTTACAGCAATACGCGGTCTATTCTATAATTGTCGAACCGACAATTATCGCAGATGATTTCGGGCGAACTCGAGATCTCTCTGCGGGACTCCTTCGACGAGGCCTCGTCCGAGGAAGAATCGAAGTCGTAGGCTCCGCGTGTCGCTTTATACTCACCAATTAGACAATTAGACAAGAAGAGCATCTTGTTCTCTATGATCCTCTCTCACTGCTGACTTTATCCCTCTTACAGCAATACGCGGTCTATTCTATAATTGTCGAACCGACAATTATCGCAGATGATTTCGGGCGAACTCGAGATCTCTCTGCGGGACTCCTTCGACGAGGCCTCGTCCGAGGAAGAATCGAAGTCGTAGGCTCCGCGTGTCGCTTTATACTCACCAATTAGACAATTAGACAAGAAGAGCATCTTGTTCTCTATGATCCTCTCTCACTGCTGACTTTATCCCTCTTACAGCAATACGCGGTCTATTCTATAATTGTCGAACCGACAATTATCGCAGATGATTTCGGGCGAACTCGAGATCTCTCTGCGGGACTCCTTCGACGAGGCCTCGTCCGAGGAAGAATCGAAGTCGTAGGCTCCGCGTGTCGCTTTATACTCACCAATTAGACAATTAGACAAGAAGAGCATCTTGTTCTCTATGATCCTCTCTCACTGCTGACTTTATCCCTCTTACAGCAATACGCGGTCTATTCTATAATTGTCGAACCGACAATTATCGCAGATGATTTCGGGCGAACTCGAGATCTCTCTGCGGGACTCCTTCTTCGAGGCCTCGTCCAAGGAACAATCGAAGTCGTAGGCTCCGCGTGTCGCCTTATACGGGGCCAAAGAAGCCTACCCCGCTATCCTCCCCCTCTCTCTCCCTCTTTCTCTCTCTCTCTCTCTCTCTCTCTCTCTCTCTCTCTCTCTCTCCGCGACTGCTACTACTCCTGCTCCTTCTCCTCGTTCGCGCTGCTCCGTTTTTCTCTCTTCTTTCGCCTCTCACACAATCTATCTCCTTAATTCCCGCATCGGGTCGGTGCTTCATTTATGAGAGGCTGCGAACGTGTCACTTTTCATTTCGAGCACTCGGCTGCTTTCGAGAGTCTGCATTCGCATCCGCGACACATCGACGCGTTATCAAGCGTCGACTTGAACATCTTTTATTTCATGTTACGTTTCATTATCCTACAAAATTACTGTGTATATCGTAGAGTTCCTAAATATTCGAACAAATGACTATCCGAATATCCGAAATTGGTTTTGATTTGATACTTTAAAGCCGCATTATTTTGGTATCCGCGACGGATTCGCGTATCTTATGAGATATACAAACAGATGAAACATCGAATCCGAATCTGAATCTAACAAGTAAACCTACCTAAAAGATACACTCCGATTTCTTTCTAATTTGGCACAAATGTAGAAATACAAAAAATATTTAGGTCATATTTTTTCATTTTGACCCACTTTGAGTTTCACGGGCAGTTTATAGCTTTTTAATGTTCTCTCTCCTATCATTGATAAGTACAACAAAAATGCAAAAGAAATAAAATTTAATACAAGATATAGTTAAATAATTTTAACAAAACTGGCATAGCTGAGACACGAAACATTCAAAATTTTTTTAGCCGAGATTCCAACCGAAATATTTTAAATCTGTGCCAAATTAGCCAAAAATGGTTCGAATCTCGGCTAAACAAAAAAATTATTTGTATAAATGCTTTTTTTCAACTTTTTACATGTTTTGTTCAAACATTTTATTATTTATACAAATAATTTTACACATTTGACTTCATATGTATAATCAGCAAACCAAAAATATTTATATCTTGTATTCAATTTTATTTCTTATGCATTTTTGTTGCACTTGTTGATAGAAGTGAGAATATTAGAAAGCTATGAATTAAAGTGGGCCAAAATGAAAAAAATATGACCTAAATATTATTTGTACTTCTACATTTGTGCCAAATTTTGGAGTGCCAAAAAATCGGAGTGTAACTTTTGGGTAGGTTTACTTGTAAGTTCTCGGCAGAATCGATCAAACACGTCCATAGCAAGTAAAATCTTTCTTGAACATTTGGTAATTAATAAATCGATATAGATAGATATAGATAAGATACGCGAATCCGCGGATAACCCGAATTTAAAATGTTATATTTATCCGCTATCCGAATAACCCAGATAGTGTCAAATCCGATTGAATATTGAAGCATATATCTTCATCGAGACTGTGTTTCGCAGTCGTTGACATGACCAGAGTGCGACCATTAACATGTGCGAAGAGAATATTGTAGTTTTTGTTCTTCATATAAATTTTCTTCAATTTTTTTATACTTTTGATAGTGCAGAAATAGCTGTCTGTTTGGGGTTAACTGTCAGTAAAATCTATCTTGTTAAACAACATAGCAAATCTTTTGATATATAAGACATATCTGACTTCCTAAAATATAAATAGTACGTATGAAACGAAAGGATGATAAATTACTGCAGAATGTTGATCCGTTCTTCGGTTACAAAATTCTGTAGCAATTTTTACTGTAAAAATCTCCGTGTAGAACTGCCTACGATTTCTTTCTTTCTGTCAGAGCGATAAAAATGACAAGTGTTTGAAGAAACATATAATGCAAGGGAGGGTTTGTCAATTTATTTCTTTATTTTATTCAACGACTGTTAATATATAAAATATACCATTAAAAGTTCGAGTAATTTTTAGAAGAAATCACAAACCTGTCACTCTGCTTTTCACAGTCTTGATGTTAATTGGACATTCGGCTGAGATCTCACAACTTTTAGCGTCGCGTAATTCATGTGAGAGAATAATTGACAGCATTTTCTGTCCGTTTTATGACATTCGCGAAAAATTACACCGGAAAATGACTCGGTCGCGCATTTCTTTAGTCATCCTCTCGATTACGTGTTCCTCGCCACCGGTATTTATGCGGGTGTACGTTAACCGACGTACACGGCAGACACGCAAAACGAGGTAAGACGGAGGAAAATAGCGGGCGCGGAAATGCGAGAATGTAAGGAAGCAAGAAGAGGAGGGAGAGGGAGAAGAAAGAGAAACGCGTGTCGTTGCCTCGGTAACGCGACGTCTAGAATTCACGATCGCAGGCCGCGACTGCTCTCGCTCTCAGCTATTTTCGATACCGCGAAAAATGTACTTCCTCTCGGCCGCAACGCGCGCGCGAAGTGTTTATATCTCTCGCGTATAAGAGAGAGAGAGAGAGAGAGAGAGAGAGAGAGAGAGGAGCGCGTGCTGCGCTTCGCGTCGGCACATTTTTCACCCTCGCCCGAAATTAAGCCCTCTCCCCCTCCCGACTCCACGACTCTCCTCTCAACCGACTTTCGTTTATCGGTCGCTATCCGGTACCACGCGAACTCGCGCGCGTATATTTCAGGAATCCCGAAACGAGATAATTAACCCGTAAACCGTGGAACGTCTTTTTGGTCACGCGACTTGGAACACGAGAGTTATTTTCTATCCCGTTAACGAGATGTAAAAGCGGATCGTTTCAGCAAAGTACCGAGAGAGAAAGAGACTTTTCTCTCTCGAGAAGAATTCCTCGCGATTTGCATGTAGATAATCGACAAATAGATCCGTGTATTTTTTGATAGTTTTCCGATCAAAGAGTTCTTAAATAAAAAAATCAGATGGTGCAACTTAAAATTTCGAAGTTATGGGACGATACCTGTCAGATATAACGAGAAACGTTGAAACACTTACTTCGTCTAAGAATTGAAAGTTTGAAAGTCGCGAAAGAAATGAAGATATCTCAACACATTCTTACATGAAAAATAGACGCAACTTGTCCTGTTACTTGCGCTCGGATGGCATCTGAAGCGATCAGAAGGTCTGCGACACCTCGCGATACCTCGAGCGGAAAGTCGCTTCCGATCGGAAGCTCTGTCGGTGTTGCACCACGGTCATGATTGGAGTCGACTGCCGTGGCTGTTTGTTTTGTTGCGCAGGCACGGTAAATCAATTCCGAAAGAGGCCCACGATCGAGTTCGAAGGCGAGATTATACGCGCTAAATTACGGTCAGAAGGAGGCACTCGTACATGTGTCGGAGTTGGACGAAAGGAGTAGAAGACGGTCATTGGTAGTTTAAGTTGCCGCCGTGTATATACGCGGCGTCCGCGGAATCTCGGTAATTGAAGGAAAACAAATCCGAGCGGTCGCGATACGCCGCCTTTGAAGTCTCAATTAATGCGGGCATGATCCGCCTCGACAAATAACGTTTCACACATGAGGAAAGTACCAAGGCCTCCGTTCCCATCGGCGAGGAAGGAGAAAAGGAAGGAAAGAGAGAGAGAGAGAGAGAGAGAGAGAGAGAGAGAAAGAGAGAGAAGGAAAGAGAAAGAGCTGGCGAACGACGACGTCGGCTGTGGAAGATCGCGACGTGTATTTTTATATGCCGTTAATTTTAGTCGCGTCAACCGAGGCATGCCCACTTAAAAATAAATTACACTCCACGATCCGCGACGCGGTTTTACCGCGATTCCGGCGCGCGGTGTCGCAAATCAGAGATCGGGGAACCGGTGTAATTTCGTCCCGAAATTTCAATCGTGCGAATCGTGCCCTGGGTTTTTTTACGCAAGCAGCAGAAGCGATCGAGGCGTGCGATTAAATCGTGCGAACGCCAACCAACCGAGCGAACGTAGCTCTTGGAGTGTTTATCCGTAACGAGATTTCCATGGTGAAGTAATTAACAACAAAAACTCGGCCGAGAGAGACGATCGACGCTCCGTGTTGCTTTTACGATCGACCAGCTGAAACTACCAGGCGTTTGCGCGGGTTGTCGCATAGAGTGCGTTCCACTTGACGCTCGCAACGATCGCAGCATCATTCTATCCTTGTTTCTTACTAGATATTGAACAAGGATAAAATAACGCCACGATCGTTGCAAGCGTCAAGTGGACCGCACCTGTAATGTCAAGCGAATAAAATCAGGGGATGGGAATAGCCCAGGTTTCATATAGCCCCTATATTTTCCGAGTCCTAGACCGGTTCTAGAGTCTTAAAAAGTGAATGTGCAAAGTTTAGTCCAGATTAGAGACCTTACAATAAGAATCTGGCCATCAGAGGAATTCTGGCAAAATTCCTAGAGGGTCTCTACGAAATATATATCTTTCCCTCTCGAAGAATTTTGCCAGAATTCCTCTGATGGCCACACTCTTGTTATAGGGTCTCTAATCCAGATCAATCAAAGGGTTCAGGAATTTACAGGAAACAAATAGACAAGCATTTTATCATATATATGTATATACATATACACATATATACACACACACACACCTATATATACATATATATATATATATGTATGTACAGATATAGAAACGTGGAGAGATCTTTAAACTCTCTCGCTTCTCTCGTGATCGTTTTGCCACTTCCCTTAATAGGATCGTTAGAACTGCAAGGTGCCGCTCGCTCGCTCGCGCGCGCTCCGAGAGCGAAGAAGCGTGTAGATGCTCGTCAGAGGCACTCGAGACTGAAGCGGGGGAAATCGAGAAGCACTTATCGTCCATCTCCTCCGTTTTACGCGTTCGCGATTAAGCGCCGAGTATGCCCGTTTCTTAGGAAGAATACGCGCTCCCCTCTCGACACTCGCGAAATCTCGAGAAACCGCGTTTGCACGATGAATTATTTCGCCAGGTTTGATAAGAGGAAAAAGAAAAGGTCCGCGAGGGAAAGAGGGATAGGGAGCGAAAACGCCGAGATAAACCACTGGGAAATTCTGTACAAACGCGAGATACACCGGTAAAAACTCAGGTCGACTGTCCCTGCCTGTGTCTGTGCCTTCTCACATCGAGCAATTTTTTTTAATACGGATGTAAGTGACTCGCTCTGTAACAAAGATAAATATTCCTGAGAAATAAAAGAAACGATAACTTTCCGTTTCTTTTCCTGTCTCGAATGTTTTATCTAACCGTTTCCGTTATTTCGTTTCACGGATTTTATTAGCCGGTTTCCCGGCATTTTCCAAGTTTTAACGTAATGCGTTATCTATTGTACGACGACGAGCTCGTCAAACATGGCGATCAGTCCGTCGGGGAATTTCGGAAATGCCGAGGAATGCCGGAGAAATTTGCCACACGGGGCAGAATTAGCTTTGAGTCGACGCGGTACACGCGGCGCGTGGCAGCTGCCGATTAAATTTAACAAAATTCCGCTACTAGAAATTAGACAAGTTATGGATTCATTAATTAGCACGAAATATCTCGTGCGCGTAAATCAACACGAGAAAGTGAAACGTCACAAAAAGACGTCGCGTCACATCGTTTGAATATATTTCGTGTAAAAATGTGAATAATATAAGATCGCATTCTTTTCTGTCTTTGCAGGTTCGGTGGCCGAACTGGCGCGACAGTCGCAGAACACGACTCTGATTATGTTCCACAAGGCGTACAGTTCGATGGAGGAGTCCAGCGAGCCGTTTGTCAAGGCGCTTTACAAGTCGATAGTGAACTACGTATCGCCCGCCAACACACCGGACAACCTGCAGCAACCGCTGAGCCGGGAGATGTTGCAGGAGAATATACTCGAATTCTTCACACGGTTGTTTTCGATCGCCTACTTGAAACTCATCAATCCGCAACAACAACAAGAGGATCAGGAGGAATTAACAAACAAGTTCAAAGTCTGCTTGCATGAGTCAATGGTCGACATACAGCCGTTCGGCGATATACCGCAGGAAACCTCGCTCGCGGTCAGCAAGAGCCTGGAGGCCACCAGGGTGTTGGTGCAGGCGCTCATACTCGGTAAAACTGTGCTCGAGAAGACTGATGGCATACTCTTCAGTCCCGATATTCACAGCCTTCAGCAGGAGGCCTGCAACGCCGCAATATTCAGGATGACCTACTGTCCCAAGTGCAAAGGCCTCGCTAACGCCATCATGCCCTGCAACGCATTCTGCATCAATGTGATAAGGTGAGTGACGTTTAGCAGGAAAGAATTTCGAAGAAAAGTATTTCTAAATCAACCAACTGTGCATGATTATTGATTGTTGCGATTAAAGGACGGAGGGCATATTATCTGTCAAATAGCGTTTTCGTCACTTTTGCTGTTGCGAATATTTAACGATTGATCGATTTGATAATTTATAATATTTTTTCATATACACGCCGACACGAGTGTCATTATTTTTTCGCGAATTTCACGGGCGAGAGACTCGCAATCGCGCGGTCGTTTGTGACTGCAAAGTTGCGACCTCGTGTTCTCGCGTGCGCGCCGATAAACGTCGTTCTACGACGAGAGGGAGAGAGGAGAGAGAAAGAGAGATAGAGAGGCATCGGCAGAAAAATGCAAATAAACGTTGCAGGGGCTGCCTGACCGAGCCAGCGTCCGAACTGGATCTCGCGTGGTCCGGTTACGTGGAGACGATCGAGAGACTCATCGTGGCGGTGGACGGTCATAACGATCCTCTGGGCCTGAATACCGTGAACGCCGTCAAGCAGTTAGGCACTCGCATTTCGGATGCCATTTTGCGCTCATTGGAGAATGGACCGAAGATTGTGAAGAAGGTGAGTGCAATCCCGGGGACTCCCCGATTTTACATATGCGACTGCCGTTTACATATACGGGGTGATCCGTTCGTTAGTTTGTTCGTCCACCCGCATATACGATGTCGCGATCAAGTTTTAACGAAAGCCCGCGGCCTTCTCGACTCGGGAATCAATCTTCCCTGAGAAATGCCTCTACTGAGAGAAATTATCCGATAAAAAATTAACAAACAAATATTTCCGATCAAGATACCGATGAATTTTTATATCCGATCAGGATATCGCATTAAATTTAATCGAATATTTCCGACCATAGTGGCATTTCTTCAAATAAACCGATCAAAAATTATGAACCGATATTTCCCATCGGATGTTTCCTGATCGGATGCAAAAATTTATCGGTATTTTGATCGAAAATATCCGTTTGTTAATTTCTTATCGAATAATTTCAGTGTCGAGATATTAACGTGTCGACCGCCACGTTGATTTCCACCGATTATTTTAATACTCAACTCATATCCTGATCATCAAAGATCCGGTAATCATAACACAAATGCAATTTACGACGTATACATTCGTTATCTCGTTTCCCAGTTGACCACATATTTAATTCGTCATATGTAATCAATTATCTTTATTTAATACCTAAATTAGTGAATCGTGGCAAAATGCCCGGCTGGTGGCTAGACCCATGATGACGATCAATGTGTCGATACCTCGCTGAATCGCTTGCGAAAAGGACGGGTGTTCTGCGCGAATTGACATTCTTTGGAGCTTCGAGAGCTCGAAGCTTTGACGCTCTCGGTTGTACCGCGACCTTATTTCCTTCTGTTTACCCTCCTCGAGACAATTCCGCGCGTTGCACACGCATATCAGGGGAGCATGAGTTATACACCCGTCCGCACCGTCCGCCTCACCGCCCTCTTTCGCGCGTCGTCTTCTTCCCTTCCCCACCTACCAACCTGCCTACCTACCTACCTACCTACCACATTTCTCGTCCCTTCGTTCCGGTTCTCGACCCCGTCCCGACGAAATGGGCCGCTGGCGCGCGCGCGGAACGCAATTAAAAGTTTCTCACACGGGCGGCCGAGCCGTGTCGCGCCGCGCGACGACAGAATCGATCCCTCGCTTGGAAGCCAGATTCTCGTCTTACTGTCCGCGACTCTCTTCCTGCCGCAATCGATTTGCGGTTGTATCTTGTTCACCTTGTTTCGTCTTAACTAACGAGAACAGTCTCACGTGGTCCGCCCGAAGCGCTTCAAACGATCTGCGGCCGGCTCTCCGCGTTTGCCCTCGTGACTTGCTGGCTCACAGCTGCAAATGTGTTCGAAATCACAAATCGAACTCGAAAGCGAATTCACAATCCTGTAAATCTCCATTTGTGGATGCGGGATGTCGGAGAATGAGAGAGAGAGAGAGAGAGAGAGAGAGAGAGAGAGAGAGAGAGAGA